GCATCAGAGATAATGCATAACTAACACATGATTGGAGCATATATGAGGTATTATCCTGTTTCAGTTCTATAATGTAAAGTAAGCCACGATGAAGAAATGTACACCAATATGCATAAAAAAGAACAATTTTTATAAGATTGGCAACAGCAGGTACATCGTGTTTCACATTTTTAATCCCGCAAGGGATTGCGCTAACAGCTTTCTTCATTGCTTCTCTTGAATAAAAGACACCCAAAGAACAAAAACGAATTAAAATTTAATATTTTTATCTATATAAATTTCTAGTGATAGTTATCAACAACGATCAAATTATGTATCAACACAACCACAAATATCACAAAATTATGGTAGTAATGTTGATACATCAACATTACGTGCTGCAGGAAATGTTATTCAAGATGAACGATTTGGTAATGAAATTCTTGCACGTGCTGGTCCAAGTCAACATTATCAACATCCCGAATATCGTACACAAGAAAGTAAAACTAAAAAATAAAACGCACACATCATATCTATTCGTTTAAAAATAAATTTTTCTATTCAATATATATATATATATATATATCTATATAGTTATTGCACCTAATGGTCGATTGGAAAATTTAAGTGTACAAGTCGATAATGAACCATTACGTGTTTTAAAACCATCTGATCAAAATATTCATTATAAACAACAGGTTAATGTACGCTTTTTGGAACCACCACCAGGACCTGAACCAGCACCAATTATTATCAAGGTAAATAGTTAATTAATTTTATAAAAAAATTTAATTTATATATGTATACATATAGGAACGTCAAGCACCAGCTCCACCTGCACAAGCTCCAGTAGTTATTCGACAACGCCCACCAACACCACCAACACCACCTCCTCTTATTATTCGTAAGAAGAAATTTATTTATTTTTTGGATTTTAATTTTTGTTTTTTTGTTTTTGAAATTAGGCGAACGTCCACCAACACCACCAGCTCAACAACAACCGCAAATTATTGAAAAAATTTTACCACCACCACCAGCCCCACCTCGTCAAGTTATTGTTGAACGACTTCCACCTCCACCGGCAAAACCACGTCAAATTATTTATGAAAAATGGTTACCTTATCAAGAACAAAAGGAACGACCAGTAATCGTTGAAAGAGCACCAGCTCTTGAAATGTATGTATAAATTGATATTAATATGAGTTTTTATTTCAAATACATTAAATTTTAGTATTCGACCACCGAAAAATGTTATCATTGAATATGAACAACCAAGAGCTCATACTGAACAAATTATTATTGATGAAGGTGTCTTTCGTGCTGATCCTCAATCGCATAATGCAACAAGTACCATGGGGTAAAAAAAAACAGTTGTTATTTTTTTTTAATAAAAATTCTCGTTTTTTTTTTTATTTTCTATATAGTGAAGTACGTATTGTTGATAAAATAACCGATTTACCGGTGAATTATTCAAAATATTTAACAAATCGTCGTCCTGAGTCGGTTCAATCTCGGCCAGCATCAAGTGCTAGTCAACAACAAGCACTTCAACCGCAGTTTAGTCAAACTGAACCGGCACAACAATATCGTTCAACAAGTTATAATTATCCAGGTTTAATTTTTTTCATAATAAAAAAAATAAAATAAAATTTCAACTAATGAAAATATTTTTTTTTTAGGTGCTTATACAACAACTTATCGTGCATCATATACAAATCAAAGTCCTAGTCGACTTGGATATGGCTCAACAGGTGTTAACGATGGAGGTCGATCGGCAGTTTATACAAAATATGTCTAAAGAAATATCATAGACAATATTTAACTCAGAGACATTAGGATATCCTACCCATAAACGACCTTATTGTATCTATATACACCTCGGATGATTAATGGACATCTGAAATGAATGAATTATTTTTTTTTCTTGGTCACTTTTCTCTCTTCATTTTTATTCTTCTTCTACTTCTTCTCTTGATTTTATTTCGAATATAAAATTTTTGAATTTCACTTTTATTTAAAATTATACTACAAAACAAAGTGTTTATATTAGTCTTGTTTACAACCAGGACAATAATGTTCATTACGTTTTCCGAAATGTTTAATTCCATGACCATCAACATATTTTTCATATCGACTATTTTCAGAATGAGGTCGTTGATCTAGAAAGAATACAGAGAGAGAGAGATGAAAAAAAGAGAAATGATTTCTATCCTAGAATTCTTACCAGAACATGCACAACATTGAGGTGTTGTAATAAGAAAACAATAATGACCACATTTTTTATATTGTTTACCGGTATATTCACGTTTTTTCATTTTTAATACTGAGGCTGCGATAAAAGCTAAAATTGTTGTTGGTCTTGTTATTGTTTCTTCGTTTTGAACTTCATGATCCAATTTAGTTTGTAATCGACATGCATAATTTTCATTACAATGTATTGTTGATGTATGATTAGTTTGAATATCTACTGATGGAAGTTTTATAGTTGAAAAGTCAATAATATTTTTGGTTATATGATATAAACGAGCTGCTTCTTCGAGATTATATGATATATTATATTCATGTTGTTGATTCAATGGATGCCGACAAATAGGACCTTTATAAAGGATATATTTAGAAAAAATGACAATTAAAAAAAAAATATATATGTATAACATACATTCACGAAGACGATTATGACCGAAAGTATGATCGATACATGTTGAATGACCACAAATAAATGTTGTTGGACGATGTATTAATGAATAATCTTCATAACAAATTGCACATCGACTCCATTCGTCATTCATGTTTAATTAAAATTATCCTTTTTTTTTTGTTTGGAATAGTTTGAAATTAAATGTTCGTGTTTGCTGGTCATGACACCTTTAAATAGAACTTATACACGATAACTCATATATAATATGAGTCAAAATATTATCTTTTTTATTTGTCTGATATACAAAATGAGATTATTTTCATCTACGTCATTAAACTTTATGTGATGATGTCAAACAAATGTATTGATGCATTTATAGATATATATATGACAGTAAGAAAACTTCTGTTGGCTACATTTTAGAAATCAAAGCTCTGCAAAACAGTTTAGTGTTGTCTTTTGCACTAACGTGTAACCATACATCATACCATAAATCTACACGGAACATGTAGTAATATTATCGCATGACTTGAGAATATTGAGAAGAACATCAAAGAAATAAATTAACGCTTATGAAATATGTTCAAAGAACACAACAAAAAAATGGCATGTGATGCGTGATCAATGACGATGAGTTGTATCATAGAGTTCTACTGTCAGTTTTATTGCAGTCTGTCATGACTTAGACTTAATATATCTATATTTTCACTTTTAAACAAGAAGACGTAGAACTAGATAAACTATTATCATATTAAAAATATTTGTATGGATGAAACAATGAGTCTTGAATAAAAAAAAAAAAACATTCCAAAACCTTGATTATTTAGCCTAAACAATGCAGTCATATTTTATTATCATTCATTGAAATGAAATATTGTCTTGAATAATTTATTATCTCGATCATTACTTTGCAAATCTCTATTAAAACTAACACGCATGATAATGATTTAAGGTGTAGAATTCAGAGTATCATGGAAAGAAATAGACTTTTGCCTTTTTATCATATGTGACCTATGATATATGATGACATCTGTAGAAAATCGAACAGATGCAAGACAATGATTGGTATAGTTACTAAAACAGACCGATGTCTCATCAAACAGAACAAAAGTCTTCATTATTCTTAACCTTAATAAATTATCATCATTGAATATACTTAAGTAAAAATAAATACTAAAGATGAAAAAGAAAACATTATCTATGTAGAATGTATGCCTATATCAAAGTCCACATTTTTTATTTTTTTCTATCTCTATATTAAATACTTAATATTGTTATACCTACATATATGTGTCTTTTATTCAATTGTGTTTAGATCCCTTGTTATTTTTTTTGTTGTATTATTATGAGTACAACGAATAGTTTCAATTATTTATTTCTAAAAAGACTTGTTCATCTTTTTCATGTTTTTCTTCCATTTTCTCGTCTTTCATTAAATGTTTATAATCATAATGAACCAATTTATACACATCCATTAATTCTTATTTTACTTATACTGATCAATGAAATTGGTTTACAATTTATTATTTATCTTGTTGGTTTACTTCCATCACAATATTATGTTGAATTAATTAAAACACCAGATAAACGTGATTTTGTTATATTTCGTTGGTTAGTTATTCGTTCATTTGGTTTTGTTATATTAAATGCATTTCTTACATCACTTTCAGTTTTTTTATCTTCACTACTTTATGTTAAATGGCGTATGAGACTTGTTAGTTATTTACATTCATTCTATTTTACACAACAACGTTATTATCATTTATTAAATACAACACAACAAAATCAAAATAGAAATGATAATGATCATGTATCAACATATGAAAATCATTCAATACAAATGTAAGATAAATATTACAAAAAAAAAAATACTCAATGAAATTATTTGTTTCTTTTTTTAGTAGTGATATTGGTGAGAATGATAAAGAATCAACTGATTATATGCCAACAGATAGTTCTCTATCATCGGTATCAATAAAACCAACAATTGATAATCCTGATCAACGTATAACTCAAGATGCTGATTCATTATGTCGAACATTATCAAGTATAATACCTCTTATTGTTATATCACCATTTGCTATTGGTTATTATACTTATCGTACATGGCAAGTAACTGGTTATTATGGTCCATTATCAATAGTAATTTATTTTATAATATGGACATTTATAAATAAAATATTTATATCAGCTGTATCACGAACAATATTTCGACAAAATATATGTGAAGGTAATTTTCGTTTTCTTCATACACAAATTCGAATACATAATGAACCAATTGCATTTTATAATGGTGGTTCATTTGAACATAAACGTTTTGATAATTATTTTACAAAATTTCTTATACCATTACTTTATCGACGAACAATTCAAGAATTTTTTCTTAGTTTATCAACAAATTTATTTGATTATATTGGTAGTATATTAAGTTATCTTTTATTAGCATTAGCAATATATGTTTTTCATTTTTATGATAATTTACCATCTGAACAATTAATTAAAATGATAAGTCAAACATCATTTGTAACAATGTATCTTATTTATCGTTTTAATCTATTAAATGATTTAACTGATAAATTAACAATAATTGCAGCTAATACACATCGTGTACAAACATTTGTTGAATATATGGAAAATATTGATATAACATGGTCAGAAAAACAATTAAATCATAATATACAACAGAATGAAATTCTTATTATTAAAAATCTTTCATATTCCATTCCAAATAATAGTAAACATATAGTTATGAAAAATCTTAATTTAATATTAAACAAAGGACAACGTCTATTAATAACAGGTCTCATTTTTTCGATTTATTATTTATAATTGAAAATTTTATACATAACTCTTATAGATCACATTACTAACATACTTTGACACAGTTAGAATATCGAATAAAGTAAAATTAACTTGAAGAATAATATGTAGTGATGAACATCGTATGAATTATTGAGTTTTTTAAATTAAATATTGATTATAGATGTTAGGATTAAAGTACGTTTCACTAGATACAACTATTCATCTAAATAGACTGCAAATATCTTTTCGTTTTATGTTTTCAAAGACACAAATAGAAAATATCCCATATTCAAATGTATCATCACTCATAATACTTGACTTGAATTAATTCTGATTTTGATTTAGTTTTAGAGAAATTTGATGTTAATGGAGATTTTAATCAAATTTTTGTGTTCAAATGAATCTAATCATTATGAACTACAGTCATGATGAATGATGATCGAACACCTTAATATACTCCGAAGTGTAACGAAAGGAATGTATAGCGTCCTGCTACTTCTGGAAATTCTTTTTTTTTTCGAATAACAAAACAGAAAAAGTGCTTTTCCAGATGTATATAGCTACTGATAGAATGTCAATGAAAGCATTGCGTCCCTAGATTTTGAGATTCTGGAAGATTACGCTCTCTCCTATTTCGTAGGCTTTGGTACGCTTCTGAATGCACTTCTTAGATTTTTTGTCAATTTCGAAAAATCTGAACGGTATTCATTTCTATGTTTCACTTTGAGTAATCTTCATGCATAAAACATATCGTACGACATGAAAAAAAATCTTATTCCCAAATCCACAAAATGCATTTTGCCTTAAAACTTTTCCAAAGCAATTAACATCTTAAAGACGGAGATCATAAAATATACGATCTACTCAGAAATCGACTATTTTGCGAAACACAATCTAATAGAATTGCTGAAGTATATCGGATAGAAATTTGTACCCACCTCCTTCGTCACAGACCATAACAGGTATCTTAGCAACGATTAGAGATGTACGAGACCAGGAATTATGTTTATAATAAAATATTCTATAGTTTTAAGTAAATTATCATATAAATCAGAACATAAGTCAAGAGAATTAACCCAAAAATGATACGAATAAATTCTGGAATAGTTTTCTTTAGACCAGAATCAAAAATACTTAGTCCGACACATCCAAGATGTGACAAATATTCCTATCGATGTTTCTTCTTCATTACACACTATGAGAGACACTTTAATAATACTGAATTACTTTCTTATTGAATTTCTAAAGTATTAAATAAAAGGATGATGAAGAAATGTATCCCATTTAATCCTGCATGGATTGCGTTAAAATAAGTTTTTTTTTTTTTGTTAATAAATAATGTATGTTAAATTTTAGGTGATAGTGGTGTTGGTAAAACATCTCTTTTTCGTGTTCTTCATTCAATATGGCCTGTAAATATAAGTGGATCTTTTTCATATAATACTGCTCATGCTTTTTTACTTCCACAACGTCCTTATTTTACAAATCAATCACTTTATGATGAACTTTCTTATCCTGACGTAAAAAATTTACCAACAATAACACGTCAAACACAAATTGAATATCTTCTTAATGAATGGAATCTTTCACATATACTTGATTGTGTTGAATCAAATGTATATATATGTCCTAAATATGCATGGCAAGATTTATTATCACCTGGTGAATTACAACGTTTATCATTTATACGATTACTTTTTCGTTTATCATCTCATGAAGATATAGGAAATCCAAAAATAAATCTTGTTTTTCTTGATGAAATAACATCATCACTTGATGTAAATATGGAAATGAAAATGTATAATTATTTAATTGAACAAAATCTTACTATAATAAGTATTGGTCATCGAGAAACGCTAAAACGATATCATCAATCGGAACTTAAATTATATAAAAATGGAAATTATTCGCTTGAAGTATTAGATTAACTCCTTTTTTTTTTTTGTTTTTTATCTCAGGATATTTAATTAGAGCAATTAATAGAGTATTATTATTTTTTTTCTTGGTGCAATAATTTCTATGCTTTTTCGCTTCGTTTTTAATTGAATAAATGTATTCTTTTTCTTTCGTTCTGTTCATGTATATTTCGATATAGAAAGTAAATAGTATAATACAGTATCACGGTCTCTTTCTGTTATATGAACTATAGAATATGAATGAGAGGTATATTTATTCTCTTCCAATTGAAAATAGAGTGCAGCTACAATGTGACACGTTATATCACCTTTTCTCTGTTCTGGGTTGCCACGTCTTCACTTTTTCTTACATGTTATAAAAAAAAACCGAGAGAGAACAAGAACGAACATACTTGCATGTCAGTCGCGTATATTTATCCTTGAATCATATTCACATTAATATCTCCAACGTTAAACATAGTTTTTTTTTAATCATAGAATAGGAATCAAGATTTTATGTATTTTGTTGATATAAATAGGAAATATTAATAGTTTTTTTTGTTACTTTTAGATTTCGAACAAATATGACATCAGAAAATAACACTAACGAACAAAATGATCATATAACTACAAATAATTTATCATCATTACCAAATATATCTGATGCTGATCAATCAATTGAATTAAATAATCGTATAAGAAATGATTTTATGTCTTATTGTTTTTCATTTTTACAAGATAATGAAGAAGCTCATCAATGTGTTCAAATTGTATGGAATAAATATTTACAATGTGTTGGTGATATTGCTATAGTAAATAAATAGAAAAAAAAAAACAAAGAACAATTTTTTGTTTTTTAAATAACATTTAATATTCTTTTATTTTTAGTTATCAGCTTTTTTTGATACACTTCCATTTCATATAAAAACATCGGTTTTACCAAAATATCAAATTGAAATAATAGAATGGTGTAAAAATTTATTTCATATTAATTCACATGCATTACTTTGTTCAACATATTATTCTGAAACATTTCAACGTGTTATTCGTTATGCATTTAAAACTGATCGATTTAAAAAAGGTATTATTTATGTTCCAATGGATTTTGATACAAATTTAAAAATTGATTTAACATCTTCATTATCAAATATTAAATTTGAACATATTTCAAATGATATTTCATCCGAAGATATGATTGATATTAATCAACTTGAAGAACTTATTAAACGTGATATTAATGACACACAATCATATCCTTTTATGGTTATTGCAAATGCAGGTAGTTAGTTTTTATGGTTTTATTTAATGTAGAAGCCAAGTTCCTTTGAAGATCGAATTGGCCCTCCGATAGTTTTAAATCACTTGTACGGAAGATAAAAGTTGTTAGTGCAAACTCTGCGGAATTAAAATGTGAAACACGATGTAACTATGGTTGCTAATCACAGTAATCTTTGAAAAGCCAAAATAATTATTTTGAATGGAACTTGTAAGCTGACATTTTCGGTACGATCAGAATTTGAATATAAGCTTACAGATGTTGTGTCTATTTTTTGTTCAAGAGTAGTAACGAGCTTTTTGAAAGATCTGGAAAATTATTTTTAATGATAAACCAACAGGTTTTTATTTACTCTATAAGTTCGTTTTCGAACATGCTAAAAATTGTCAAAGTCTGTCGTTTTGTAGAACGGACACTTCTCTACAAAATGTGATATTGAACTAAGTTGTAGATTTTACTCAAGTAGAACTACGAACATTTTTTCAAGAGTTCCTTTCAACGTAAAACGATCGTCGGTTTAGGAAAAATGAAAATTGAGATATCTTGTCGAAAGACACAGCAAAACTTCAAATAGTAGTAAAAATATAAAAATTTTCTATCTAAACTAATTTGTTCGGCTTTTTAATGATTATTTCACTATTCTCGAACAAAATCTGAAACAAAATTTCTAAGCTTATATTCGATTATAGTTTTTAATTCGTTGAAAATACTTCCTAGAGCGTCAAAAGTGAACAAACATTTCATCTAAAAATCTTTCAATCATCTGTTATATGATTCGTGATCATATACCGGGCGTGGCAAAAGTTTTGCGACATTTTTTGTTTTGCATTTATCTCTGTTCAGGAACATGACAAAACGTTGATCTTTTTTTTAAAAGGTGCACCGTTGAATTCTCTACAAACTTCTATTTTCCTTAAATTAAAACAATAGAATTGAACATTTTTACAGGTCGCATAGTGTAATCATGTGAACTATGTTTACTTCCCACACGACTTTTAATAATTCTTTCTTTTCGTGCAAATGAATATTCTGTAATTAAAGCATAATTTATTGCTAGACAACTCTTGAAATCCTCTATCGATTGAGTATATATCTGCCTTTTTCAAATGCTTATTCTTTCGATTGGGCGCTCTGGCATATTTTGAAAATAATGCAATTTGCATGTATGCCTTCTCCTCTCCAAAGAAAGCGTCCTTGGAATGCCACCTATAACTAAATCGAGTTAATTTTGCCAGTATTTTGTAGAGAATTGATTTCTTTTTCTATATGGAACCCAAATAACGCGTGAAAACAACGATTCAGATGGAAGAAGAATCCGAATAATGTTAAAAGAGACGTTTTCATTGTAGCATCATAGACAGGCTATAACTTTTAGATAAATATAGATTGCGATCAAACACTTACAAATAATTCTGAAAGAGCATTTGATATACACTCAAATTATAAAAAGAAAGTTTATTTCGCGCCTATTTGTAACTTGGAAAACTCGTTGAAAGAACAATAAAAAAGTGTGCGGGAAGTAAACGTAGTTCACATGATTACACTATGTGACCTGTAAAAATGTTCAACTCTATTGTTTTAATTTAAGGAAAATAGAAGTTTATAGAGAATTCAAGGGTGCATCTTTTAAAAAAAAAGATCGACGTTTTGTCATGTTCCTGAACAGAAATACATGCAAAACAAAAAATGTCGCAAAATTTTTGCCACACCCGGTATAAATAACGTCAAGCCAACGCTTTGAATTTCTACCTCTATACTTCAACACTCATTTGAGATCATGTTTTACAAAATCTGAATAAAAAAAATACTGCTTCTTTTATGTAATATAAATAAAATATTTTCTTTTTTTTTTTTCTATAGGCTCAGCATTATTAGGTCATTGTGATCAATTAACAAAAATAAAAAAACTTTGTGAACAATATAATATTTGGCTTCATGTTATTGGAGATTTATTAGGATCATTAGCATTATTCCCAACAATTAAAGAAAATGTAAATATTAATTGTGATAGTTTAACAATCGATATAATGAAATTATTTGGTATACAAAATCTTCCTTATTTAACTTTTTTTCTTCAATCAACAACTGATATTAAACAAATAGATGATAATAAATCATTAGTTACATCTCATCCACTTTATGATTTTATTTTACATAGTCCATCAATTAGTTTTTTAAGTGTATGGTCAATTAGTCAACGATGTTCACGTGATACTATACTTTCTCATATGAAAGTATCATTTGATTTAACAAATTTCTTATTAACTAATTTAAAAGATGTTAACAGATTACGAATTTTAAATAATGATAATCATCAAGAAACTTATAATTATCAACGTATTTGTTCAGGAGATGTACCTGATGATGTTTTACCAAAACCTGTTGCTATTTTTCGTTTTGAACCTAATCATATATTAGAAGTAAGTGTATGGATTACAAAAACATCACTTAGAAATCAAATTAGAATGATGATGAAATCAGTTTTATTGTAAATAAGAAGTCTTTTTGAGTTAGTACGTAATATAAATGTATGTTCTATATTGAAATATAATGCATGATGTAAAAGCTCTTGGAATAATGTCATTTTATTTTCCATCGCCTAAAGCATATTTTAGAACAATCAAAAACATTAATTCAAAATCTAGGTTGAAAACTCTTTTCAATTATGTATTCAAAAACAAATTTCGTCATCTCTTGTTTTTGAATATTAAAAAAATTTTTGAATAACTCTAAATAGTGCTCCGTAAAAATAGTTTGAAATGATCGTCGCACAGATTTTTATGACTTAATCATGTTCGTTTCATTGCATAGCATTGATATTTTCTCTACTAAATTCCTCATACAATTGTTAATAAATCATGTAGACAGTGTTATGGCATGGTTTCACATAACAAAAAAAAACAACTAAACGCGGAGTTCTAGCTATTTTTCAAATCGATGTTCGTATTCCTTCTTTCTGCAGGTCAATGACATAAAGACTTTGACGTATTTATGTCAACAGTATATGAAGCTACGGATTCTTCCAGACCTAGATCCTGCCGTGACCGGGTCCAACTTTTAATTTTTTGTCAGGTACTGTCACAATTTTTGTGAATTCACTGCTCTCCAGATGAGAAATATAGCAACAAGATATAACTGTACGATGATTTTTTTTCAGAGAGTGGTGAATAAATCGCTAAAACTTTGATCCTTTACTTGTTCACGTGTACGAAGGATGACAGGTATTGATGAAAAAATTCTCGGGCCTAGGTCCGATCTAGTCCGGATCCAAATTTTAAACTTTTTTTGAGTCTGGGTTCACAAAAACGCGAACCCACAGCTCCCTACAGCCGTATCCCATGTTTTGCATAGTCATCATGTCATATGTTTCATAAAACGATGCTACGTTTTATAGTTTGTGTAGATCAGAAATATGAGATAAATCTAATAGTCTACGGTGTATTATAGCGAGAATCAGAACGATAAACACCGAAAAGTTAAGCATGCAAAACAATGAAGGTAAATATGACATCTATTGAAAGATCAATGAACAAATATGGGTGTGCGTGGTTGAAAGTATTAGTCTTCTCTTCATTTTCATCCTCACACTCCAAACCTATACATTTCGCCATACCTTTTTTCTTGCGTACTGAAGTTTTCTATTGCTTATCGTTCATCAATCCTTCATTCTTGAAATATCGAAATTTTACTGGATTTTTCAAAACTTGCTTGCACATATCAGAAAATTTTGAATATTGAATATCTCAGGATAGTAGAT